AGGGAAGAGGCTCCAGGATGCAGAGCGGGGACACCCTGCAGGCACTGGACTGCCTGCCCGCCTGCTGGCTTGCCCCAGAGGTCCTCATTCATCTCCAGCCCTCCCCGGAGCGCACGCGCTGATCTGTCCATGGTTCTGACTGTTCAGACTTCTTCTGGGGACCAGGCACGCTTTCCTTCTAGAACAGCGCTGTGTTCTGATTTCTTCTTTCCATGTTTCTACCGGCACGAACCACAGATGCAGGCATCAGTGAGTTTTCCTAGAGGGAACACATTCGTGTTATCACCTTTAAAGCTCTCATGTCCATATTGAATCCCGGCCTGTAAAAGGCAAGGACTTTAGCCACTAGACTACTGCGCCGGACTCTAAGATGTACTTTTTTTTTTTAAAGACAATTATTTCCATGTGAACGGCAGATTTTTACAGAGAGAAGGAAAGACAGCGAGAGAGATCTTCCATCGGCTCACTGGTACACTCCCCAAATGGCCGCAATGGCCAGAGCTGAGCCAATCAGGAGCCAGGAACCTCTTTCAGGTCTCCCACGTGGGTGTAGGCTGTCCTCTGCTGCTTTCCCTGGCCACACGTAGGGATCTGGATGGGAAGTAGAGCAGCCAAGATTCAAGCCAGCACCCTAGGCATCACTGTTGACAACTTAACTCACTATGCCACAGGTCAATTCCAGGAAGAACCTTCTTTTTGAACTGACTTCTAAGCAATGACCTAACATTATGTTTGTGAGAGTAAATGCTACAAGTCACTGTGAAGCATTCATTTCTGTTACTGTGTAACATTGTGCAAAACAAGTCCACCTTCTATTCATGGTACAGCTGATGGGTCTTTGGGCTGTTTCCAGTTTTCTAACATTAGCAGTTCTACTGACACAAACATTCTTGTTGATCTCTTGCAGTGGACATATCCTCTTCAATTATACATATCCAGGATTATATACTTACATGAACATATATACTCACATATACACCTACACGGTGTGTTGGCGGATACCTTGTAAATCCACGTTTTCCAGGTGAGAAAAGTCAGTCTAGAAAAATAATTGTGGGAGGGGACAGGGTTGTGGCACAGTGCATTAAGCTGCTGGGTGTGGTGGCGCCTGCATCTCAAAGGGGTGCCTGTTCACGTCTTAGTTTTTTTTTAAGATTTATTAATTTTTATTGCAAAGTCATAAATACAGAGAGGAGCAGAGAAAGAGAGGAAGATCTTCTGTCCGTTGATTCACTCCCCAAGTGACTGCAATGGCCAGTGTTGTGCTGATCCAAACTCAGGAGCCGGAAACTTCCTCCAGGTCTCCCATGCAGGTGCAGGGTCCCAAGATTTTGGGTCGTCCTCAATTGCTTTCCCAGGCCACAAGCAGGGAGCTGGATGGGAAGCGGAGCTGCCTGGATTAGAACCAGTATCCATATGGGATCCTGGTACATTCAAGGTGAGGACTTTAGCCACTAGGCCACCGCACCAGGCCCATGTCCTAGTTTTTAATCCAGCTCCCTGATAAATTGCCTGGGGGAGCAGCTGAGTGCTTGGGATTGCGCCTCCATGCAGGAAACCTGGAAGAGGCTCCTGGCTTCAGCTTACCTCAGCCCTGGACATTGTGGCTATTTGATGAATGAACCAGCAGATGGAAACTTTTTCTTTTTCCTCTTTACTTCTCACTTCCCCTTACTCTTCCAATCAAGTAATCAAATAAATTCATCTTTAAAAACCTTTAAAATAATGGAGGAAATTGGACCAGAAAATAGTGGAGTTGCGACCTAAACCCAATCCTGTCTGGACCTGGTGCCCGGAAGGCTCCAACCTCTGTGTGTCACCACCTCGCTGAGCCTGGGCTCTGTGAATGTACCTGATATGCCAGACCAGTGGCTCTCACTGATATCACACGAGAAGGAAGACACTGATGGCAGGGAAAGGCACAGCCGTGGCCTGGTGCACGTCCTGAGGGGACAGAGATAACCGGAGGAAGAGGAACGACAGGGCAGATTCTGCGCATGTGCATGCAGAGCCCAGAGAGAAGGTGTATCCGGCTGAGTGCTGCGGGACACGTAAGGAGAGACTCCAGCCTGCAATAGCCCGCACAGGCCAGCTCCCCACTGCCCCCCAACACACGGCTTACATTCTAGTCTTGCCTGGCCTTTGGCACCACCAACCACCAGTGTCACCCTGCATCCCACCTGTTCCTGCACACCCAGGGTGCGATGCCTCTCTTCCATTCTACAGCCACTCCGGGCTGCCTCCTTGGGTCTGTTCACCCCTGCTGAGCAATTTGATCTTTTCAAAACGTCAGGCTCCTTGGATTACAAGGAGTGAACCCTCACAGTGGTACGCGCATGTGATCTGGTCCATGCGTGGGCCCCCCGGCTTCATCTCCTCCCACTCTCTGTAAGCTCACCCCTCACCTTGGCCACCCTATTGTAAATTGCAAAATCCCCAGGGCTGGTGTGATAAATAGTCAATCCTCCACCTCGCAAGTGCCAGCATCCTATGTGGGCATCAGTTCATGCCCTGGCTCCATTTCCATCCAACTTCCTGCTAACAGCCTGGGAAAGCAGTAGAGAACGGCCCAAGTCCTTGGGACCGTGCACCAGTGTTACAGAAGCTCTTGGCTCCTGGCTTCGGATCAGCTTAGTTGTGCAGTGAGCCAACGGATGGAAGATCTTTCTATCTCTCCCTCTTCCTGTAAATCTGCCTTTCAATAAAAATAAATAAATCTTAAAAAGAAAAGAAACATAAATACCTATGAGGAAAGACATTGTATGTTCCTCTCTGGCTTAGTCCAGTGCCTGGACTTGTGTTTGTCTCAGAGTAAGTACTGAATATTTCAACTGAATGAGACCATCAATTTCCTCTGCTACTTAAAGCTCTTAGAAGACTTTTCATTCCCAGGAGTTATTTGCATCTTTCTAACATCCTCCTCAACTTTCCCAGGCTCTATGCAGACTCCATCTTGTCCTTCTACCTCTAGGTCTGTGCCCCAGCCTCCCTTCTGTTCCTCATGCACTCTTAGGCTGTTCCAACCCCAGGCCTTTTGTGCATGCTGCAATGGCTGTTGGGACCACTCCCACCCAACGCACTGCCCTGTGGATCACCCTGCATGGCAAGCTAATGCATCTCTAGCTCCCAGTTCCCAAGGATCTGAGCTGTGCAGTCTCATCGAGCTGGTCTGGGAGGCAGGGCTGCTGAGGTTCAGGAGAACCACGTGAGTTGGCCTGGAAGCAGATCACCACTTACCCCACCAAGCCTTGGGGTGACTGCTGTCAGCCCCAGCTACCGGCTTTGCTTTTGCCCCGTGTGAGATGCTGAGCCAGAGGCGCTGGCTGAACCCCAGCCGGACGCTGACCCACGAAATCTGCAGGACGGCAAGCGTTTTGTTGCGTAAGGCACCAAGTTTCAGCGTGATTCATTATGTGGGAGCAGGTTCCTTGCTGACCCAGAGACAGACTCCCGGCTCGATTCAGCCACACGAGCAAGTGAAGCAGTAGCTGCATGCACACATTTGGGAACGCACACACATTAGCACTTCCCCGTCAACAGTCTACAACATCTCCTCCCACGCCTTCTATCCTGTTTATGTTTTTACACAAACATAATGTCATCCCATCGTGACAGCTGCAGCTTCAATTTTCTTCTAATATGTTACAAGCATCTTCTCACCTCATTAAATAGTCTTCAAAGCATTCTTTTTTTTAAAGATATATTTATTTTTGTGAAGAAAGATCTTCCGTCTGTTGGTTCACTCCTCCAGATGGCTGCAACAGCCAGGGCTGGGCCAGGCTGAAGGCAGGAGCTTCTTCCAGGTCTCCTCTGTGGGAGGCAGGGGCCCACGTACCTTCTGCTGCTATTCCCAGAGCATTAGCAGGGAGCTGGATCCAAAGTAGAACAGCTAAGACCTGAACCAGTGCCCATATGGAACGCTGGCGCTACAGGCAGAAGCTTAGCTTGATACACTACCGTGCCATCCCAGCAATCTTTTCTCTTGGCAGTGCTATGGTAGTCCATCGTAGGACCAGACCAGTGTTGTTCGTTTTGACCTTGAAGTAGAATTTTGCCCTGCCTTCTCCCTTGAGTGGGAACTATCAGCATGGCCTGCAGGAAGGGAATGTGGAAAATCAGTGGCAGGCCAGCCTGTGTTTACTATTACTGTTTGACCAAGTTCACACCATTTCCTAGTCACAGAGCTTTGGGCTTGTTACGGATCCCGTCAATTTCCCCATCAATCCAATGGACAGGAGTTTGGATTAGCTGGTGCACAAGGAGCTTCCTGCCACAGATTCTAGATAATTTCCTCTTGTTTCAAAGACGTTCTGGTATCTCCCAGCACGAAGTGCGCTGCAACCCGAGGGACTAGGAAAAACCCTGATCTGCAGACCACGCACACAGGTGCCAAGACCTGTGCTCAGGCTCCAGGACAAAACTCTGGGGAAAAAACTGGGGCTTCTAATCTTGGGGCACCTTACAGTGCTGCTCCTGGGATCTGAGCATGAGCCCCTTCCCCCTGCCCCCAACACTGGATGAGCCTGTGGTGCCTCCGAAGATCTGGGGAGGCCATGGGCACCTAGCCTCCTCCCCACCTCTGACCACAGGTTCAGTTTCTTTTCCTTTTTTTTTTTTTAAGATTTATTTATTTTTTATTACAAAGTCAGATATACAGAGAGGAAGAGAGACAGAGAGGAAGATCTTCCATCTGATGATTCACTCCCCAAGTGAGCGCAACAGCTGGTACTGCACCGATCTGAAGCCAGGAACCAGGAACCTCTCATGGGTCTCCCACGCAGGTGCAGGGTCCCAAAGCTTTGGGCCGTCCTCGACTACTTTCCCAGGCCACAAGTAGGGAGCTGGATGGGAAGTGGAGCTGCCAGGATCAGAACCGGCGCCCATATGGGATCCCGGCACATTCAAGGTGAGGACTTCAGCCGCTAGGCCACCGTGCCGGGCCCATGTCCTAGTTTCTTGACCCCAGAAACCATACAGGGGGGCGGGGGAGGGGAGAGAGAATCTGCTTCAAGGCTGCAGCTGGTCCTCCCCACCTCAGGCCTGAATTCCACGGAGTGGCCCCTGTAAAGACCAAGCCTCTGGGACCTCAGAGCTCCGGCCCCAGGAGACAGAGCAGAGAGGAGAGGGCCCTCCTTGGCTCCCAGCATGCATCCCTCTTCCTCTTGCCGGTTTCCCAGACCTCTGCCCCTAGAACACCTGGGCCCGAGATCCCATCAGCAGAGGGAGGAGCAGGTGGCTGAGTCCCCAAAGGCCATGTGACCTGGCAACATGTCCCTTGGCTTCTTGTCTTTTACTGCAGCACACAGAACGAGCATTTTGGTTTGCAGGATGATTGGGAGGCAGTGTGAGGATCCACTACCACATAGGAACCCGATGATATTTTCTTTTGCTCTAGAAAATCCTGGCCCAGCCGTCAGTCAGAAGGGCAGCCTCTGGCGGCCATGAGGGAGATGCCGGCATGCTAAAGCGACTGTCAGCAGCGGGCTAGAAGTGGACTTGAGCTGAGGAGAGCAATGGGAAGGCCAGGAGAGGGTGGGGATTGGGATCCACGCCCAGCTCTTGCAAACAGGTGAGCCCTGGGGAGCAGAATGTAGGGGACCCCAACTTCCCCCCAGTGGAGTGCCCTAGCCCAAGGGGCTGTGCAGCGCCGGGTTGGGCTGCGGGGCTGGGCAGGAGGGCTTCGAGCTTAGAACACCCTGTCAGGCTGGAACCAGCAGGCAAGGCATCCAGGACAGGGCTGGGGGACAGTTGGGCAGTCATCACAGCCGGACCTGAGGCAAGGGACTCGGCAGGAGGGGGGGAGAGGAAGAGGCCACGAGAATCATGCAGCTGAGAGCCTGGAGAGAGTTGCTGAGTTGGGGGCAAGGACACTGGGTTCTGGAACAGGCCCGGCTGCTCCTGACAGTCACGTTCATGGGGTGCAAGGCTTGGGGGGCACTCAGCGTGGCTCCAGCAGCCAGGGGGCCCCGGAGTCAGGCAGGAGGCGCAGTCGGTGGGGCACAAGTGTGCATGCAGGTGCAGGGTCCAACTCCACCAGGCCAGCTCCGCCTGCAGGGCCTGAATCTCCTTCCGCAGGGCTTGGTTGTGTCTTTCCAGGGACTCATGCTGCTGAGGGAGAGGCAGGTGGGCAGGGAGGGGGTGTCAGCCGATATCAGGTATTCAGCCCAGATTCCACTACCAGCCCCATCCTACGGCCTCACCATGCTCATACCTACCCTGCCCTCCTCCCGTCACTGCCCCCAGCCATCACCATTCCCATCCAGAATCCCACCTGCTCTTACCCCGTCACACCTGACAGGTGCGCCACCTGCAGCACCTGTGCCCTTGGCCCTCAGGAGCCATTTCACAACTCTGACATGTACGCCTCGGTTAAAGCCCTTCAACAAGATGCTCTCCGTTCTCAGGATTCCAACTCCCTGTTCTGAGATCAGAGACTGGGGCCACTGCAGCTCAGAGCAGCTGCTCTGCTCCTGCTACCCGCTGTCTTCCCCCCCCTTCCTCTTATTTATTTATTTAGATTTATTTATTTGATTGAAAAGTAGCCAGAGCAAGAGAGGAAGAGAGCTCTTCCATTATTTCTGTAGGCAATGAGAATCCAGGGACTCAGCCCATTGTCCACCGCCTCCCAGGCACGTTAGCAGGAAACTGAACAAGAAGCAGAGGAACCAGGACTTGAATGGGCATTCCAGTATGGGAACTGGGTATCCTGAGTGGTGGCCCAGCCCACTATGCCAGAACACCTGCCCTTCTTCCTTTAAAAAAAACAAGAAACAAACAAAACCCTATTCTTTTTCTTTCTTTGAAAGGCATTGAGATACATGCACAGATCTCCCATCTGCTAGATCATTTCCCAGTGTCTACGATGGCCAGGGCTAGCCACTAATCCAGATGACCTCTGAGAGTGGCAGCGACTCGAGCACCCGAGCCATCACGTGCTGCCACCCTGGGTGTGCATGAGCAGGAGCCAGGCCTGCAGCTTGGTGTAGGATGTTGGGGTCCCAGCCTGCAACTTAACCACTGAGCCCAGCACCTGCCCCTGCTCTGCCTTCCTGTCTCCCCACCCCACCCCCATTTCCTGTCTCTTCCACCTGGGTCTTCTCCCGGCTGCTCCCTCCACTGTGCTGTCACCGACATGGCCTCCAGGGCCCAGGTACCACAGCATTCTCTCCTGGATGCCTCCAGTCGGCTTCATGTGGACGGCAGGCCTCTCTTGTGCCAGAGCTCGCCGACTGCAGTGCCATGGCAGGACGGGTGTGCAGGGCTGCCATGTAGGCAGATGGCACAGGTGTGCTATGGGTCAGCACCAGGCCTTGTCCTGCTGACCGCATCCTGAAATGCTGTGGGGACTGTCAGCCACATGCGGTTCTATGCAGCCGTTCATGGTAACAAAATTTGTGGAAACACTGAAAGAATTTTATTTACAATCTCAAGAGGCTGAATAACACAACCCATTTCCTGGGGTCTCCCCTCTTTTTGGGGGGAGATCATTTAAGTGGCCTGGATTACAAAATGCAGGAGCTAAAGACTCAAGGATCTGGCAAGCTTCAAAGGTATCAGCAATCTCGCTGTCCTGTGTGGGGACAGACGTGTCTGAAACCTAACGGGTCATGCAGACTTCTGCTCCTTCATTCATGCAGTGCCCACTTTCAGGACGCCCAGTCACCCCTCACAAACCTCTATGGTCTCACTCCACCCACTCTTGTCCCTGCTCTCCCCCTGCCCACAGACTCAACACCATCTGACACCCCCAACCTTTCATGGACCATGTATCTGGCTGGTTGGTTTCTCCACAGGAAAATGAGCCCCGAGGGGCTGGGGGCGGGGCTTTCTGTGTGCCCTGGTCGCGGCTGTACCTCTTTAAACTGTGCCTGCCACACAGAGTAGGGGGTGGAGGTGGCACCTAGGAGGCCCTTCAGAGTGAATGAATGAATGGGTGTATTGAGACACTCTCCTGAGCACCCGGGCTGGCTCCCAGGTGCACCTGTGCCCATGCTGGTTCCTCAGCCACCCAGGGGGCTCTCCTACCTGCGTTTACTTAAAGAACTGTGTCCTAAGACCTGGATTATGCCCCCTTCCCCATTAAAAGTACTATATTAGGTAACCCTAAAACTCTTGATACCTATATTGAAAGTGTAGGTAGTGGGTAGTTTAAGCCAATTGGAGCTGGGGGATGGGTGGCAAAGCAGGGGCTGTGGTCTGAGTGTGTCATCTAGATGTCATGTCCCAGAAGCTCAGCATTCCCAAAGCCACCCAGTCACGGTGTTTGGGAGGTGGATGGGTACCAGATGGGTGGGTTGGCAGAGTCTCTTGGGAGCAGCTCTGCCATAGAGCTTGCTCACTCTGGCATGCTCTCTTATCATGGGGTGCCCCCCATGCCATGCCCCAGCAGGAGGGCCCTCACCAGATGCCTGGCTGGTGCCCAGGTGGTACTCTTGCCACTGTTCAGCTTCCAGAACCCCGAGCTGGACAAACCTACGTTTCTTTAGGCAATGCCCAGCATGCCTGACACTGGGTGAGGCCCCACCTGGTGCAGTGTGTCTGCCTTGTCTGTATGCTTCTGCCGGCTGCGCTGGGCGGCTGCCCGGTTCTTCTGTTTCTTCCTCAGCAGCCTCTGCAACTCCTCGGGGTTCTGCAGGGTACAAGGTAGAGGGCTAGGGAGACACTCCTCAGCCATTAGCATGGTCCCGTTCTTCCCTGGAGCCAAGGCCTGAGGGTCTCTCCAGCTCCCTCTGTGCCCTCCCATCCCAGACACTGCAACCCTCACATGTTGCCAGCCCTGCCCACATGGTGATGCTCACTGCCAGCCAGGAAGCTGCAGAGCTAGGACTCAAACTCCATGCTGTAACCTGCTGCGTCTCTCTGGGCAGGCTGCCAGGACGACAGAGAGGTGAGCCCGCTGGGTAGGCCAAGACGCTGAATCTCCTAACTGTGACCTCCCCTGGCCCTGGGCATCTAGGCCAGCGTCTGGTGCAACTCCACATGCCTATGTCTTGTCTCACCCAGAATGGATCCCCACTTACTCAAGCAGCAGGTCTTAAGCACCTTTTAGGTGCCAGGCACCAACTAAGGTGGGAAAATAGCAATGAACAGAATGGGCAAAACTTGCTGCCCACACCCCATCCCCTTGCAACGTTCCCATGCCAGTGGGGCTAGCAGCTTGGCCACAGGAGTAGGTTCAGAGATTACAAACTGGGACCACCTCCTCCCTTTGGGGTCCCCAGAACTCAGAAGAAACAGCTCTAGGAAGTCACACCCGCAGCAGATTCATTTCAGATGCTGGGGTGGGGTAGGGCCAGCAGTGGGGGTGGATAGCAAGACCAGGTATTTGGGAGGAGGAAGGTCTCCAAAGGAAAGCAGGAGCCAGGAATTGTAGGAGAGGAGGAAGCTTCCATAAAAGCAGGGAGGCCGAGGGATCAGGTGGATTCAGAAGAAGCAGGTGTACAGAGGACAAGTTCTAAAGTTTGCAGTGAGACTAGGGGGTGGAATGGAAAGCAAGAGTCAGAGAGAGAACATGTGAGGCCGTGGGTCACACAGCACCCCTGCCATCGGCTGCAACCCTCACAGCCTGGCCAGACTCCCCCTGGCAGCCCCCCATCCCTGCTCCCCATACTCACAGTGCCCGTCAGCTGACCGTTGTCCCCACAGAGGTGCATAGCTTCAGCAGGAAGAGCAGAAGCGCATGCAAACCCTGGGAGTCCCTTGGCAGCTGTGACCTCCCAGTGTCCTGGTGGGGGGAGGGGGCAAGGAAACTGTGGTTCCTTAAATCCCTGGTGACCCACTCCGCCCCCGCCGGGTCCAGTTTCAGTTTCTCCTAAAACCACCGGCTGCCCAGAAGCCAGGACTTGGGAGCGCTCACGTGGCTGGGATTTCCTAACATGACCCTGCCTTCCGGTTGCCGCCTCTGGGGCAGGGAGGGCAGCGGGGCTGGGAGGAGGATGGTGATGAGTGGAGAAGAAGGATGAAGGCCAGGTAGGTAGAGGGGAAAGAGATGGGGAGCAGGCCACCCAGGACGGAGCCCAGGAGAGAAACCATTGCAGGGTGTGGGAATACAAGCACCTATGGGGGTGTGGAGAGGGGAATACAAGCACCTATGGGGGTGTGGCGCCACCAGGGCTGTGCAGCTTTGAGAAGCCAACTCACTGTCTCTGAGCCTTAGCTGGACAGAGTGGGGAGGGGGTGGCACGAACACCCACCCCTAGGCTGCATGTCGGAACTAAGCACCCTCTGCCGCCACACTGACCCACCCAAACCCTCCCAGACTGATCTGTCCGCAGAGGTCAGCAGTGGTCCCTACGCGGGACAGGACATGCAGCAGGGGAGGGACGCAGGGTCCAGGGGTTGGGAGGTCAGCCTGCAGCCTCTCTCTTTTCTCTGCTTGTGTTTTCCAATCTGTAACATAGGAGCATATTCCAAACTTTTATTGCACCGGCATAATAAACTTTTTCAAAACTTTATTTGAGAAAGGGAAGATCCTATTTACTGTTCACTGCCTGTCCAGCTGCCCATAGCTGGGTCTCCCACGTGGGTGACAGCGACCCATCACACAGCCTCCCATGGTCCACTGTAACAGGAGGCTGGAAGAACAACCCAGGTGCTCTAACATGCTCTAAGAGCGCATCCTAACCAGAGAGTTAACTGCTCCTAAAATATCTGTGCTTCAACCTGTCTCTTTAATTTCATTTTTTTCCATCAACTTTGAAGCCCCTGTGTTTGTTGTAAAAGTATGAAAATAGGAATGGGAATGAGAAACACAAAATGCAGAGTGGGGGCGGGGGAGAGAGGGACCAACAGGGACACGCGGGACTCCAGTGGTGTTTGACTGCTCGAGTTCAGGGAACAAAGCCATGACCTCATGATGACACATGCTTTGGAGGGCGCCTGACGTGCTTCCTAATAAAAGCTTCGGAAGACCTCATAAACGCCGAAGCCCAGACCCACCTGTTGGTTGTGTGACTCGGAGAGACGGGACATCTGCCTAGGGGATTGAGGCAAGATAGCAAGCCCTGTCCAGGATCAGCATGCGGTGTGTAGGGTCCTATGGCTCCAGAGCTGGGAGCTTAAGACTGATGGCACAGGCCCACATCAATGGCAGATGCTTCAGATAGTCTGCTGTGTGGGCTGAGGCCTGCAATAGATTGGTGATGCCTGCCAGGTCTGTCCTGGGCAGATATACAGAGCCTAGCAATCCTATGCTTTCTTGGGATGAAGCCCAGAACTCTTCTAGGACTGCCTAGCTGGGCGTACTCGCCATCCCTAAACTGTATGGAGGGCTGGTTTGCATTCTGGCATCGCAGATGGGGCTCGCGGTTAGAAGCAGCGCCATGGCAGATGTGTGGGCTGAACCTCGCCCCCCAGCATGGTGGCTGGAGTGGGACACCCTGGACAGCTGGGTTGCTCTGAAATACTTTTGTTTCCCAAAAAGGAGGAGAGCCGGGGCATCTTGCCTGAGGCGGGAACCTGAAGGGCTCATTAAGCAAGTTGGTGAGGTCCATGGGGAAGAATCAGGAGCAGCCCAGGCATGGTGTAACACTCTCCCCAAAAATCTGCCAGTGGAGGCCTGGGGCCCAGGTGTCCTCTGAGTCTTTCTGTTTCTCCTCCTCCTCCACAGCCTGTTTCCTATAGAGGGGAGCAGGTGCAGCCCCACCCAAGAGGCCGTGACTCTGCAGGTTTTTATGGCTTGATCTTCCTGTGCAGGTGGCTGGGAGGGAGGGGCCGGGCGAGGCTGGGCAGTGTTCTGCCGAAAGCTGCTGTTCTGTACCTTCCCATAGGTGGGCTGTCCTGTCGAGATCCAGGTATAAGGTCAAGGGCAGTTCCCCAGGTGGGCCCTCTTTCCCACACAGCATGGAGAGAAGGCTATGGACCTTTTCCCCTCCTTTTTCATTTTTTTTTTTTTAAAGACAAATGTATTAATTTGAAAGGCAGAGTTAGAGAGAGAGCTCTTTCATCTGCTGGTTTACTCCCACAACGGTTGTTACAGCCAGAACTGAGCCAGTTCGAAACCAGGAGCTAGGTGCTTCCTCCGGACCTCCAACATGGGCACGGGGCCCAAGGACTTGAGCCGTCCTCCACTGCCTTCCCAGGCACATTAGTGGGGAGTTGATTGGAAGTGGGGCAGTCGGGACTGGAACCAATGCCACAAGCAGCAGCTTTACCTGCTATGCCACAGTACTGGCTCTTTCATCTTCTTACAAGGACCCTAACTCTGCTGGGGGGCTCCTCACCCATGACCTTATTAGATCCTCCTTCCTCCTGAAGGTCCCACCCCCAGACATCCTCATGGTAAGGACTAGCCTGGAAATAGGCGTCTTCTCTCAGTCACAGCATGTCAGGAAATTTACAAGAGGCAAAGTCAACCCCAGGAGGGGGCAGAACTGCCAGGCTGTGGTGGGAGGAACACAGCCCTGGGTCTTCCACCAGTGGCACAGTAGTCCCAAACCTGCAGCCCCGTAGTGGGCAGCGGCCAAAGGCAACCCCTGGATAGCCAGATATGGGCCTGCTTTGCTTTCTGAAAGACCTCCAAAGCCTTACAGTTGGCCTCCACCAAGTAGATACTACATCAGAGAATAAACAAAGGAAGTCCAGCCAGGAGCTCCTAGATGTTCCTAAGTAAAGGGACATCTGTTCTAGTCCTCCCACCTTCCTGGCTGCCCGGGGTGTGGCGAGGGGCTCTCTCCAACACACCCCCTCATTTCACAACTAAGGGAACTAAGGCCTAGGGAGAAGGGAGGGGGCATCACACGGCCGGTCCAGAAGCCTGTCTGTGCCTCCTGAGCTGGACAGACGCCAGGGATAAGGACCCCTCAGCCCAGGTTCTCTCAACAGGCTTGGCCTCTTTAGGGAAGCGAAGGAAGAGGGAGACAGCAGCTAACACAGAAAAGTGCCCGGTGGCTGTTACTGGGGCTGGGGCCAGCTATGGACTTCCCACACACAGCTGACGTGTCGGCCTGGCTGTTAAGCCTCAGCCAGTGTTGGGGGGTAAGGGGCATGGGTTGACAACCTTCCAAGGGCATGTGGGACACACCTGTTAGGGAGGTCATTTCCTGCTGGAGAGGTTACTTCCTGTTGGAAAACTTCCTGTTGGCAAGGTTCTTTAGTGCTGGAGAGGGGTGGCTTTTTGCCGGGAAAGGGGGAGGGGAGGGAGGGCACTGCCCAGCAGGAGCCCCTGGGGAGGCACCCTCCGCCCCAGGGCCAGCCCTCACAGAGCTCAGGTAGAAAAGGGTGTTGACTGAGCAGCCTGACAGACTCCGGAGGACCCTGTTGTCCTCGGCCCTGCACCCTGCGCCCTGCTCCTGCTCAGCCTCGGTTTCCTCCATGTGAGCGAGGACAAGGGACCATTTCTGGAGTCCTCCAGCCGGGACCAGCCGCAGCCCGTCTCAGCGCCAGTTCCAGGCAGCCTGCTAGTGCGTGACATCAGCCAGGGCCTCTTGCTTCATGCCCCACCCCACTCCGCCCCAGCCGGGAGCTTCAGATCCTTCCTTGCTCCATGACCCCACACAGCAGCCCCAGTGTGAGTCCTCTGGGCTCTAAGAGTCACAGGCAACTAAAACTCCCTCCCGCTGTCCCAGCTTCCTGCTAATGCATGCCCTGACAGGCAGCAGGGATGGCTCAAGTCCTGGGGTCCCTGCCACCCAAGTGGGAGATCTGGGTTGAGTTTCAGTCTTATGACTTTAGACCCAGTCCAGCCTGGCTATTGGAGGCATTTGAGGAATGAAATCAGTGGATAGGAGATATCTCTCTCTTCAAATAAAGAAGTAATGCAGGAGTCCCTGGGACAAGAGAGGGGACATGCCCCTGCTGGGCTCCCTGTTGATCCCTTTCCGGGTGTGGCTTCTGTCACTGTGACATCCCTGGCTGACAATGGTATCATCATCATTTTACAGACGAGGAAACAAGGACCCAGGCCAAGGTCACACAACTCACAACAGATTCAACAACCCCCCCACCAGAAGAACCAAGGAGTTGTGGTCCCAACCGTGCATCCCCCCCAAAGCACCAGGGGTGCTCACTGCTCTGTCCAGCTCAGCTCCTTAAATTTCCTACTGATTCTAAAGGCTCCAGACAAGTGCAAAGAAACCGCAGCAATGCATCGAGCTCTGGGGGTTGTGGAGGGGCCGGCAGCATGGGGCTGTGGTGCTAGGGTGGCAGCGACCACCTGCGCCCTCGTGTGAAGTCTCCCAGGTCCTTTGGGCGGGGCAGGGGGAGCGGGGGGGGGGGCGTGGACAGCTGTTGGCAGCCTCTGGCTCCAGTGAGCCCTGGCAGTGTACCCAGCTGAGAGTGAAAGTGTCCTTCCTCCCATGATTCCCTGGAGAGTTCCCAAGCTGTTGCCACTCCTAATGTCTGCTCAACTGGAAGCACCTGCTCAGCCTAACCACTGGGCCCTTCCTTCCTCTCTAGCTTGGACAGCTAAGTCCCAAAAGAGAGTGTCAGGGACATTCCACCCATTGGAGCAGGGATGTGCTGCTGGGCGCTAGCCTCCTGGTAGCTGAGCCCGACATGGTCGCTTTCCGCCAGCAGCACCTCAGTGTCCCTGCAACATGCTGCCTCCTCACTCCAGGCCCTCGCGGTTTAAATGGAGCTGACCCTATCCCTGCACTCCCAAGCTCTGCCCAGCTCCCTTTGGTCTCTAACCACAGTGAACAGTTGCCAGAGCCAAGGCATGTCAAGGAGTGCCAGGCCCAGGACCCTCATGGGGACTGCTGAGAAAGCGAAGCTCATGTTTGCACTGACTATCACGCCACAGAAGACAGACTCAGCTGGGAAAGTTGCCAGGCCTGAGCAGGGCAGCTAGAGTAGACAGGTGGACCCTGATGGTGTCGCTTGCCCACTGCTCTGCAGCTTGACCAGGATCTTAAATGTGAATTGGCTAATTTGTCAGCTAGAGATTCCTCCACCGTGGACGTCTGCTGTTTCTGGTGAGTGTGGCAGGAGTGGCCAGCGATACTGTTACTGCAGTACCAAAACTGAAGGAAAGTCCATCAGCAGTGTATGACAGTGAAGGGTTAAGTAGAGAAAATCAAGAATGATCAAAAAGATGTTTCCAGAACGGCATCTAATCTACCAGTAGACTTGTCTATATCCCACACTGGGCTACCTGTGTTCAACTGCCAACATTGGTCAATGACGATAGCTTCCTGCCAATACTGAGCCTGGGAGGCAGCAGGCAGGAGTTATGTGAGAGACCAAGATGCAGTTCCTGACTCCGGGCCCTGGCCCAGGGCTGTGGGCATGTGCAGAGTAAACAGATGATGGAAGCACTCTCCCTCTCTCTCTCTCTCTCTCTCTCTCTCTTTCTCTCTCTGCCTCTCAGATGTGAACAAAAGGGAATGTATGTTTGGTCCAGCAGTCAGGACAGACCTAGATACCCACCCTCTGGCTCTCCACTTTAGCTTCCTTCAAGGAAAACCCTAGAAGCAGCAGGTAAGGGCTCAAGCGACGGCTCCTGCCAGCCTCCTGGGAGACTCAGGTTGAGTTTCATGTTCCTGGTCTCAGCCGTGGCCCAGCCATCACTGCCATTTGAAGAGTGAACCAGTGCGTGGAAGTTCTAACTCTGTGACTCTCTACCTTAAAATAGAGTATGTGTAATACATATATATACAAAGTATGTGTGTATATATATTTTTTTTCATTAGGAAAAGAACTCATCCTTGTCCTTGAACTCCACAATTTTTCCTTAAAACAAAAAACAAACAAAAAATAAACATTAGTGAAAGTAAATACACGGGGCCAGCATGATGGCTGGCTAATCCTCTACCTGCCAGCACTGGCATCCCATACAGGTGCCAGTTTGTGTCTCAGTTCATGTCTCTGACCATGTTCTGTCTTGGTGATTCATCAAGGTCTTGGGGTCCTAGAGAGAGAATAAGGGAGACCCAGGGAATCTTTAGAAGGGCAGGGAACTCCCGTACCTGCTGTGGTCAGTGGAGGAAAGTATTAAGGGCCGACGTATTGGGAGGGAGCTTAAGAGCTTTGGCTTCACCTGCAGCTTAGGGCGCCAGGCTGGGTGGCCCCGGGCAGCCTCATACCCGCTCCCAGGTGCTGCAGACTGGGCCAGCTGGAGACCTCTTAGCAGGCACAGCATGTGGGAGGCCAAAGGGAGCATTTCACACAGCAAGGGGACAGCTGCCACTGCCATTTGAGACAAGACGTAATGAATGGACATTCTGTCTCTCCCCCGACCCTCTCTGTCTCTCAAATTAATCTTTTCTCCCAAATTGGCTAACCTAAGAGGTGTCCCCAGCTAATGCTCGAACAGCTCAAAATTCCTTCTCGTGACTCAGGGATGACCTACAAATCCTGAGGACCCCTGTTGGATGGCAGAGATCGTCAGCTGTGATGGGGGTGGTGCCTAGCTGCCAATCAACCTGACACAGAGGTGTGGGCACCTGCTGAGAAGTCAATCCACTACCAGCCCCAGAGTGAAACCCCAGCAAGGGGTCTACGGAGATGGGGACATCATGGGACTATGTTGCCAAAGATAGGCAAGGAGCAAGCCCCCTTCCCAACCTGGAGGGAATTCAGACATGGCAAGAGTCAGCACAACTAGCCCTGTCTCCCCTCCAGAGTCTCCCCGAAACCCATGGAGAGTAGATACCCCACATACCCATCTCAGAGTACAGAAACTGGCTGCTGGGCTGGCATTGTGGCACAACAGCTTAAGCTGCTGTCTGTCACGTCAGCATCGCTGCTTCGAGTACCAGCTGCTCCATTTAGGATCAAGCTCCCTGCTAAAGCCCAAGTGCTTGGGTGCCTGTCACCCACACTGGAGACCTGGATGGAGCTTTTGGCTCCTGGCTTCAGCCTGATCTAGGCCCAGATGTTGTGGCCATCTGGGGAATGAACCAGCAGGTAGAACTTCTTTTTCTGCCTTTCAAATAAACTAATCTTTAAAAATAAGTAAATACATTAGCGGCAGGTCCCCAGGCTAAGCCCTATCCACTGGCTTTCTATACCAAGAGGGGGCAGACAATGGGGCCAGATAGGAAGATGGGAAGACAGCAGGCTTCCTGGGCCTCTGCCCTCCATCCTGCTCTAAGTGACCTGGGCAGATGAGGAAGCCCTGACCCCAGCATGGTGCCAACCAGCTACAGGAGGACCTCAGCAGCCTGTGTACTGCTGGCAGGGGCCCTGGGAAGGTGGGAAGGAGGCTTCTGGGACCTCTGACTGTGGAGTAGGCTCTGAAGTCCCGACTCCCTCAGTCCTGGGGTTGTTCCACCCTTGGCAGCTGCCTGCCCATGTAATCAGGTGCTGCTGTGGATGTAAGCCAAGACGGAACTGACACAGACATCCAAAGAGCCAAACTCTCAGCTCACCTCCACAGGGCACCTGAGTACCTGAAGCATTTGGGGAGCTCTTCCATCTCAGGCTGGTCCAGAGAGAAGGACGATTAGCCAGTGACAATCAGCCTAAAGCAAACTGACCACCGCCCAGGGTTAAGCTATCTCCTCTGAAAGCTGAGCGACAGCTGGAGTCTTGCCAGGGGTTTTGTTTATTTTTAATTGGAAAAGCAGATTTACAGAATCTTCCATCTGCTGGTTCACTCCCCAAACGGCCACAATGGCCAGAGCTGAGTTAATCCAAAGCCAAGAGCCAGGAGCTTCTTCTGGGTCTTTCACAGGTACAGGGTCCTAAGGCTTTGAGCCATCTTCTGCTGCTTTCTTAGACCACTAGTAAGGAGCTGAATGGGAAGTGGAGCAGTCGGGACACAAACTGTTTGCTGTATAGATTACAGGCATTGCAAGGTAGAGGATTAATCAACTGAGCCATTGCGTCAATCAGCCCCGCCAGCTTTTTTTTTTTTTTTAAGATTTATCTGAAAGGCAGAGTGAGAGAGAGAGATTTTGCCATCTGGGGGATCACTCCTCAAATATCAAATAGTTACAACAGCCTAGATCTGGACCAGGCTGAGGTCTGGAGCCAGGAACCCACCAGGGTTTCCTCACACGGGTGGAGGGACCCAAGCACTTGAACCACCGTCTGCTGCCTTCCCAGGTGCAGTAGCAGGGAAGTGGCCGGGAAGAACAGCTGGGGCCGGAAGTGGTGCTTGCTTACGGGAAGTCAGTATCGCAAGCTCAGGCCTTGCCTGTGCCATCACAACATTTTTTTTTAAAAGATTTATTGTTTTATATTTGAGAAAGAATCTTCCATCTACTAGTTCACTCCCCAAATAGCCGGATGGAGCTACCCCAGTTTTTGGGAAGACTGTGAGTTTGCAAGGGCTACAATCTTACTGTAGCAGGGCCACCTGGAGGCCAAGGGCGCCTTCTGTGAAGCATACAGACTCTGTAACACCTCAAGGCCAAGGGCACCTTCTCCACGCCAACAGAGAAGCTCCACCCCAGACCAGTTACGAGGATCCTGGTACTGGCTGGCTTCTGACAGATTTGGAGACCCCAACCTGCACCAATGCGAGAATAGGAGAGGGGAAACTGGACTTCATGATGAACAACTCGCCTCCCAGACCACCAGCAGGGAGCTGCATGGGGCAGCCGCAGCAGGAACTGGTACCCGTACAGTGGTACCCATACGGTGCAGGCGGTGGCTTATCCAGTAACCAACACGGGCCCTTACGCTTTCTCTTCCTATGTGTGCCCGATGGAGGAACGACGCTGCCCAGTGAAGGGACCCAGGGAAGTGTCCTGGCCAGCTGTCACCTACCACAACCACCTCCTGAGGATGGCAAACCTAGCCCCTTTGCAGCCTTCTCCCTATAAGACCGTGGGGGTCACTGTTGACTGGCTCTGAGTTTAAACCTCAACCTTCCACTCCCTACTCAAACACTACAAGAATTAAGCAAATAAATAAATAAAATGAACCCCTTAGGGCTGTGCGGAGGCTGCGCTGAAGACCACACACCATTATCAGCAGCTGACACTGGCAGGGACTCCTCCTCGACCTCCCCGATTCACCCACAGCCGGCAGGGGCTCCGGCTCGGAACCAGGCAGCAAAGTGCACTGCCCACTGACTTTACACGCCGCGTGGGCCCTGCTTCTTTACTTGGTCTCCACTGATAAAGAGGGGAAACCCTCGAGGCGTGGTGCCGGCATCCCACGGGGGCACGAATACCCTACTTCCGATCCTACAGAACCGTGGGCGCCCTCCCCACAGGAGCCAGACGCGAGGAAGCCCGCTTTTCCACTCGGACACTGACTAAGGGAGCGTGTGGGCTCGAGGTCCCGGAGGACAGAGTGGCCCTGGCCCCACGGGCGCGTCCTCTCGGTCCCGACCCCTTCGCAGATCCTCCTGATCGAGTCCTGGGCGCTCAGGAAGCGAAGGGTTAACGCGGCGCCCGAGCCCCCCAGGCCGCTAGAGGGACCCCGGCCGCCTCGCAGTCACGTGGGGCGAGGGCGGGCCCAGGCGGCGCAGCCACCAATGGGCTGCGCTGTCGTTGGGCGTGCTAGCCAATAGGAACAGCGAGCGGGGTCCCGGGACTGCGAAGCACCGGCGGCCGGGCGGGGGCTCGGGGACGATGGGGCTTCTGACCATTCTGAAGAAGATGAAGCAGAAAGAGCGGGAGCTGCGGCTGCTCATGCTGTATCCTCTCGGAGGAAGGAGCCGCGGGGGTCAGTGCGCGCGGCCGACCGGCCCAGCAACTGCCCCGAGTGCGTCACGCACGTGGGCGCTACCAAGCGCTCCTGGAGGGGGCCGCGGGCAGGCCGTACCACCGGCTCGGGCGGCGGGGGGGACCCGGTGAAAGCCACCCCCAGGTGAGGGCCTGAGGCCGCGGTGCCGGGACGCAGGGAGGGCGAGTTGGGGCCCAGAGGTGACTGGACGTCACCGTTCGTCGGTCGGGCCGCAGCCTGGGGTCCCCTGGCCTGCCCGGCTCTGACCTCTTCCCCCGCCCACCGCAGGCGCCGGGCCCCGCCCTCAAGCGGGGAACCCTGAGGGCGAGTGGACGGCGCGGGTCGTTCCGCGCGTGGGTCCGGCTGTCCATCTCTCTGTCACCCCTTCGTGTCTCTGGGCGAGACTGGGAGATAGTGACGTAGTATCTGCAAGCTGCCCGGAGAAGACCAGGCGTGGAGAGTGACCCCGTTGCAAAATACAGGGACCTGAAGGAGGGTGGGCGCTGTGGGTGTCCAGGACACAGTCTGAGACCGAGGGGACAGCGTGCTTGGAGGAGTGTCCAGGGGGAGATGGGGAGAAGAGGGAACCCCCAATGTAGGACCTAGTGCCTCCTGGCTTGTGAATGGGGCGTGCAGAGTAGAGTCGTCATCCCTAGACCAGTTAGGCAAGAGCCTAGCAGAGAGAGGATGGTGGTGGCTGGGGCCAGAAGGTGAGTGGTGAGGTCGCCGAATAGGGATACTGTGAGTTGGGGGGCCAGCAGGAGGGGCTACCAGACTGGAGTGTAAGGACGCGAGGTCAGGTGATGACCTGTGGGACTCTGTTAGCAAATGACAAGGCCACATAGCCATATCCTGCTGTTGAGAAAACGGGGGGCGGGAGGAGGCAATGGATGGGGGTCTGTGTTTTAGGTGAGAGAGGCCACCAGTAGGCTGGTGGATAAAGAGGAGGGAGGTACAAACTTGTGGGTCCTTAGCTCCCCAACCCAGGAGCCATGCATTAAGGGAGGCTGGGAGAACCCACTGACAGACTTTGGGGTTCCACCTTGGCTGGCCAACCAGCTAGCCATCTGGGGAAGCAGTGGGAGCCACAGCCTGCTGGGAGTGGGTTCACACGCAGAGGAACAAGACAGCGGGCAATAGTGTAGGTGGACAAACATGCTGTACGATGGGGACCGTGGGGTGGGGCAGCAGGTCCCAGAGACGCCCCTGGACCTGCTCCCTGCAGCCCCTGTTCTGCCGTGAGTGCCCACTGTTCATTTGCAGTGCCCAGCAGGTATTTGGAATATTCTGGAAACAGATGAGGGGGGCTTATTGGATTTTAGACCTCAGTTCAAGACACCTCAGAAAGGCCTTCCCTGGCATGCAGGTGCTGCCCAGAGCCACGCTCCCCTGCTGGATCACATTCCTAAGGCTGTGTGGCCACAGCCTCCCCCCTGGAGGGTGAGGCTTCTATGGGCAGGCTGTGTCCTCTAGAACCCACCCAGGAGTGGGGAGCTCATGGCAGGAGTTGCCCACACGCTGCGTGAGCCCCGGGAGCTTTATGTGGGAAGAGAAGATGGAGTGCATATGTCTGGATGAGTCCACCTCTCTCCTGGGGCCAGCTGTGGGGCCAGTGGGGAGACTTGAGGTACTGTGATGACATCACCACCACCCCAGCACAGGACCTTCCTTAACGGGTGGGGCGTACCCCAGCGGCCTGGACAATGCCGGCAAAACTACCATCCTCAAGAAGTTCAATGGCGAGGACATCGACACCATCTCCCCCACACTGGGCTTTAACATCAAGACCCTGGAGCATCGCGGGTGAGCAAGGCAGGGGGGCAGCGGGCAGGCACAGGACCCAGGGTGGGGTGGGGGCGGCAGGTGGGCGCAGGACCCAGGGCAGGCTCCAGCTCGGGCTTCTGGCCGTGTGCAGGTTCAAGCTGAACATCTGGGACGTGGGCGGCCAGAAGTCGCTGCGGTCTTACTGGCGGAACTACTTTGAGAGCACGGACGGCCTCATCTGGGTGGTGGACAGTGCCGACCGCCAGCGCATGCAGGATTGCCAGCGGGAGCTGCAGAGCCTGCTGGTGGAGGAGGTGAGGCAGGCAGGGGCTGTGGGCAGGTGGTGGTGGTAGAGTCCGGCACCCCAGGAAGCCCACGCCGTCACGGCTGCTGGGACCCCCACCAGGCTCTTATCCCAGGGGTTGCTGTTTGGCCACCCTGTGCTCAGAAATGTGGGGCCTGACATCACCCAGCTCTCTGGGCTTTCGGGAAGAGGACTTGAGGCGGCGTGGGAGACTCTGGAAGGGGTGGGACCTGGCTCAGGAGGCCGCCTCTGCTGGGTGACCTCAGGCAAGACACTTAACCTCTCTGAGCTGCACTGAAGTGAGGACTGAGATTAACATGATCTTTTAAAAAAGGAAATCCTCTTCAATGTTTTTTGAAACAGGTACAGAGATCTTTCATCCATTATTGGTTCACTCCCCAGATGGCCACAAAGTCTCCCATATGGGTGGCAGAGGCTCAAGCACTTGGGCTGTCTTATGCTGTTTCCCCAGGCATGTTATCAGGGAGCTGGATGGAAGTGGAGCAGCCTAGAAAGGAAGCAGCAGTGTCCATGGCACCCAGTGCCTTGCTACATTGTAACACTGGGCCTGGGATGGTCTTACTGTCTGAGCTCAGAATGCTCTTTTTTTAAAAAAATTATTTATCTTTATTGGACAGTCAGATATACAAAGAGGAGGAAAGACAAAGAGGAAGATCTTACATCCGCTGATTCACTCCCAAGTGAGCACAACAGCTGATGCTCAGTTTCTATCTGAAGCCAGGAGACTTCTTCCAGGTCTCCCACGTGGGTGCAGGGTCCCAAGGCTTTGGGCCGTACTCAACTGTCTTCCCAGGTCACAAGCAGGGAACTGGACGGGAAATGGGACTGCCAGGATTAGAAACAGTGCCTATATGGGATCCTGGTGTGAGCAAAGCAAGGACTTTAGCTGCTAGGCTACTGCGCCAGGCCATGGACATTTGTTTACTTTTAAGTATTTGAAAGGCAGAGTGACAGCAAGGGGAGCGACAGAGAAAAAGAGTTTTTCCATCTGCTGGTTCACTCTCCAAAATAGCTATAAAGGTCAGAGCTGGGCCAGGTGGAAGCCAGCAGCCTGGAGCTCCATCCAGGTGTCCCGTGTGGGTACAGGAGCTCGGGTTTGTCCGGCACATGACAGGAAACTGGGTCAGAAGTGGAACAGCCAGGACCCTAACCAGCACATGGATGATGGGTGGAGGCCGCTCATGCAGCAGCTAAAGCCAGTGTGCCATGGTGCCAGGCTCTCTCAATGCCTTTATATGATGTATAAAGATTTGCTTATTTTTACTGGAAAGACAGAGTTACAGAGAGAAGGAGAAACAGAAAGATCTCCCATTTGCTGCTTCACTTCCCGAATGGCCACAATGGCCAGAGCTGAGCCGATCTAAAGCAAGAAGCCACGAACTTATTCTAGGTCTCCCACCTGGATGTAGGGTCCCAAGGTTTTGGGCCGTCCTCGACTGCTTTCCCAGGCCACAAGCAGGGAGCTGGGTCGGACATGGAGCAGCCAGGACATGAACTGGTGCCCATATTGAATGCTGCATTTGGAGGTGCGGGATTAACCAATTAAGCCATCATGCCAACAAAAGCCCCTACCACCCACCCACACGTTTTGTTTTAAGACTTTCTAGGGCCTGGTGCGATAGCTCAGTGGCTCAATCCTCACCTCACAAGCACCGGGATCCCATGGGGTAGCCGGTTTGTTGGACAGCAATAGACTTTCTACCCCTCCACAGTGCACCTGCTGCTGGCGTCGGGTAGCCCCAGGGACAGGTCAGACCCGGAGGTGACTCTGGCTGCTGAGTGTACCCTGCAGGCTGCAGGTGGGCCCCATCAGCTTCCCTGCTGCCATGTTCTTTGTTTCAGGGTTCAACCCTCCTTACTACACTGCAGTTGGTTGAAAACCAGGTCGCTTTGAGAGTGATGAAGGCAATTTTTAGTAATTATGGAGAGAAAAAAAATCTGTGTCTGTCAGGCGCTGAGCCCCTGCCTGGCGGCTGGGAGTGGCTCAGATCAGGGGCAGAGCCTGATGCCCTCTGGGGGTTGAATCTGAAAGGGAGGCTTGGCCCCTTCTGGTCTCACCTCCACTCTGTGAGGTCATCAGATCCCAGCCCTCCAAAACCAAGGGGCGCTCTGGGGTTCACCCTGTGCGGTACCTCCTCCATGTTCACACTAGAGGAACCAGGCACTGGTGTGGGGGAGAGGTGCACTGGGTGGGGACCCTGCCGCCCTGGCCCCACCCCCTGCCAGGCCTCTGCTGCCCCTCAGCTACTGGGGCCAGTGGAGGAGGCGTCAGCTGACCCCCGGCCCCTGACCCCTGGCCCCTGCAGCGCCTGGCCGGAGCAACCCTCCTCATCTTTGCCAACAAGCAGGACCTGCCCGGAGCGCTGTCCTCTAACACCATTCGGGAGGTGAGTCTGGGGGCAGGGCAGGCCCACCGAGGCACAAGGACGCGCCTTTCCCACCGTGATTTTATTGGATAATCCCAGAATAATAGAACGTGTTGCAGGCCCTCGTCAGGGGGCACGGGAGAGTTGGTGACCAGTGAGGAGCAGGGCTGCCCTTGGCGCCTTTCTGAACCTCAGCCTCCGGCTCTGGAGGTCTGGGCTGGCGAGGGCGAGTTGGCGCACGTGCAAGATCCCAGGGAAAACCCAGCATGCCCACCATCCCGGGAGGCTTCCTGGATGGGGTGACCCTGAAGGGAGGCCTGTGGGTTCCCTGGGCCAGGAGAGGTGAGGGCCTGTGGGCAGCAGCTGGCAGCAATGTCTAGTGTTACTTCCTGCCCGCCACCCCCAGGCCCTGGAGCTGGACTCGATCCGCAGCCACCACTGGTGCATCCAGGGTTGCAGTGCCGTCACCGGCGAGAACCTGCTATTGGGCATCGACTGGCTCCTGGATGACATCTCCAGCCGCATCTTCACAGCCGACTGACCGTTCCAGGCCCCCCCTTCGAGATGTCCAACCCACCCCTTTTCCCCCACCCCAGCGCTCCCTGCAGGAAAGGGAGTCAGCCAGCAGGGTTAACACTCCTCGCCTCCTCTGCCACCCGCCATGGCCATCTGCTGGCTGTCATCCTGGCCCAACACACATATACACCTGGCCTGCTGCTGCCACCTCCAACATAGAACGGGAGCTGGAGGGACACCCACACACATATACCCGCTGCTGAGGCTGTGGGCCTTGTCCTGCGTGACTGAGAATAAAGCGTTCCTTGCCCTGGTGCCCGGCTAAGCTGTTGGTTGGTGGGGACAGCCTCACCTGGGAGCCCTGAGTCCAAAGTGGGGGACAGAGAGGCTGGTGGGGTGGTGTCATGCAGAACCTCCACCTGGGAGAATCCAGGCCGGCTTTCTGGAGGAGGTGGCGCTGCTCCCTTCCCTTAGAGGGAAGGAGGTGGCAGGTGGATGGGTTCTGATGGGTGGGGGCTGGGTCACAGGGAGGGTCAGGAAGAATGGGGCTTGGCTCCCAATCAGGGCTGCAGTGAGCAGGATGCAACCAGTGCCACGCAGCAGAGGGGCAGGGATGCCAAGGGCAAGGGCTCCTGGGAAATGGGGAAGAGCCTGGGCTCCAGGGTGGAGGGACCAGGAGGGGGCCAGCAGGTCAGGTCACGGCCGGTGTTCAAGGTCTTCCCAGAAGGCTGTAGGGCACTGTGCTGGGGTGGGACTACCCCAGGGGCTTGAGCCTATGACGACAGGGTTCTGCAGCCCCCAGGGGAGAGTGGGGAGTTGGGAGCAGGACACCCCGCCACCCCCTGTGCTGGCTCAGCCCTCGCCATCTCCCAGTCTCTGTAGGACGTGTAAACAACAGATGCCAGCAGCAGCTAGAGGCGAAGTCCCGGTCCCCGGAGGACGGGAGAAACGGGGGGACAGACCAACAGCCTCCGTGCCCTGCCAGGCCGCGGCGCACCAAGCTCAGAGCTCACCAAGGACAGACCAGAAGCCAGCTCTGCAGAGTGGCCTGGCCTATCTAGGCCTCGGTTTCCCTACCTGGCACTAGCGTGGGGAAGGAGGGATGAGGTGGCAGCTGCTGAGCCCCAAGCCAGGCTGTGGTCGACATGTGTGTGGAAGCATCCCTGTGAATCCAGCAGAGATATGGTTTAGGGGTGAGGGGAGTCCCCAGTGTTCACATTCCCTGTACCCTGCCACCCCCTGGGAGGGAGTTCAGGAAGCAGCACCTTGGGCTGGAACAAGGCACTGGGCACGGCCGGTGGCCTCGGTGGTGCTGTGCCGGGCAGGTGGACATGCTTTGGGGGCCTTGCAGGCAGCCCCATATTCGCCCATGACAAGTCTGCCCATCCCAATCGCTCATGGCTTGTGATGATGTCACCTCCTGCCTGACTGGGTCTGAAGACACTGCAATAAAGCCATCAGTTCCCCGAGATCCTGGAGGAGTGGAGGAGAACACGGAGTGAGATGGGGCACCCCAAACCCCACCTCCTTTACAGAGTCCATAAACCTCTACCCTGGTTCAGCTCCACCTTGTGAAATTATGGGCCCTAGTGGCTAAAGTCCTCACCTGAATGCTCCAGGATCCCATATGGGTACTGGTTCTAATCCTGGCAGCCCCGCTTCTCATCCATTTCCCTTGTGGCCTGGAAGAGCAAGCAGCCGAGGACGGCCCAAAACCTTGGGACCCTGCATCCGTGTGGGAGACCGGAAGAAGCTCCTGGCTCCTGGCTTCAGATCAATGCAGCTCTGGCCGTTGTGGCTGCTTGAGGAGTGAACCATCAGACAGAAGATCTTCTCTTGTCTCTCCTTCTCTCTGTATATCTGCCTTTCCAATAAAAATAAATCTTAACAAAAAAAAATCTACTCAGCTGCTACTGAGGCCGCCTGGCATGTTCCCCAAGTCCTCAAATCAGTCCTCATGCCTGCTCCCCGGCTACCCACTTCTCTTTGTGCCTGAAACCAGCCTGAGGGCAGGGGTTGTCTGTCTCTCTTTCCCTCCACAACCATGGTGGGGGGAAGCCTTTGCAGCTGTCTCCTCTTCCTGTCACCTCGTTTGTCCTTCCCAGTGAAGGCGGAAATACAGAAAAGGTTGGAGAAGTAGGTTGGTGTGCTGGCTAACCGGACAAATCCTCCACCTGCAAGTGCCGGGCATCCCTTACTGTCGCCGGTTCGTGTCCAGACTACTCCACTTCCCATCCAGCTCCCTGCTTCTGACCTGGGAAAGCAGTAGAGGGCTACTCAAAGCCTTAGGACCCTGCACCCGCGTGGGAGACCCGGAGGAAGCTCCTGGCTTCTGGCTTCAGATGGATTCTGCTCTGGACGTTGAGGTCATTTGGGAAGTGAACCAGCAGATGGAAGATATTTTTCTTTGTCTCTTCTCATCTCTGTAAATCTGCCTTTCCAATAAAAATCAATCTTAAGAAAGAACTATCGACAGGGAGGCATCTCGCCGAGTTCACCCAAGATCCACTCCCGACCGGGCAGCCTCCTTTTCCACCAGGAAGGCATGACCCTGCTCTACGCTTTGCCGGCGACCCGGAACTTTCCCGACGCTCCCTTGGCCGGGCACGCGCGGCGCTGTCACCGGGCGACCGGCTCGGGCCCGGAAGCGGCAGCAGCGGCAGAGCGGGGTGCAGGCCCGGGCGCGGCGGCCGCAGCGGGACCCCGGCCGGCCAGGAGCGGGAGGCCGGCGCTCGGCTCGGCTCGGGCTCGCCGGCCATGTCTCGCCAAGCCAAAGATGACTTCCTGCGGCGCTACACCGTCTCGGAGCCCAGGACGCACCCCAAGGGCTACACCGAGTACAAAGTCACCGCGCAGGTGAGGGCTCCCTTAAGGCGGGCGCGGGCTGGAGCCCACTGTTTAGACCTCAGAGAAGAGTTTCCCCTTTAAGGGGCGGTGCCTTCGTGGCCGGCAAGGCTTCGGGGGCGGGGCCAGCGGGGCGGGGGAGGGCGTGGCCAGCTTGGCGCGTGGGTCGGAGGGCGGGGGGGAGGGCGAGGCCAGTTGATGCGTCGGGGCGGGGCCAGGGGAGGGCGGGGCCAACCTGATATGTCAGGGCGGGGTCAGCGGAGGTGTCAGGGGCGGGGCGGCCCGAGGCGTCGGGGCGGGGGCGGGGAGGGCGGGACCAGCGGGGCGGAGCCATCTGAGGTGACGGGGCGGGGCCGGTGGGGCGGGGCCATCTGAGGCGTCGGGGGCGGGGCGGCCATCACGTACCGGTGCCTTTTTCCGGGTTCGGGTGCCCAGGCTGGTCTCGTGCTCAGCCTTGTGCGTCAAGTTGTGAATTTCTGGCGAGGGGTTTGGGTTGGATGCTGAGGGGATAATCTTCTCAAGAGTTCATTCTCTGACAAAAACATAGTAATGGTGGCTTGCAGATTTAAAAATCCGTGAGGGGTCAGTACTCCCGCTGCCTGGCATCAAGTGTCGTGTAGGGACTGGACCTGTCGTGTGCGGTGAGACAGGAGGAGCCGCGAGCTGCGGCCAGGAACCCACTGGTGACGGTCAGGGGCATGGCCCCAGGGAGCAGGGCAGGTGCAGGGGCCGCTCCCTGGGCTGAGAGGCCTTTTGTGCTGTCAGATTTTTCCATGAGGCCTGAGCAACCCTGACTGGGGATCCGAACCCCAGTGCACAGCCAGCACCTACGTTGTAGTGCCCCTGCAGGTTATGGCAACGCCTGCCAGCCAGATTCCCACTGCCCACTTCCCACCCAGCTCCCTGATCCCCAGGGCCTAGGCCCCACTTCCCTTTTGTGTAGGACCCTGAATGACACTTTTGGCTTCAAGCCTGAGCTGGACTTGTCTGGGCTATGGAGCCAACTGGGAAGGGAACCAGCAGGTAGAAGATTCTCAGTGTCTCTCTCCCTCTCTGTTATGCTGCCTTTCAAAAAAAATATATATATATATATTTTAATTTTATATATATATATAATTTTTGGGTGGGTGTGGGGAAGCTAGAGCTGTGGCATAGTGGGCAGAGACACTGCAGTGCCAGCATTCCTTGTGGGGCAGGTTCAGCTCCCAGCTGTTCCACTTCCCATCCAGATCCCTGCTAGTATGTGGCAAAGCAGCAGAGAAAGGATAGTGCAAGTCGTTGGGACCCTGCATGCTGTGGGAGACCCGGAGCTCCTGGCTTCCGTTCAGCGCAGCTCTGGCCATTGCAGTCGTTTGGGGAGTGAGCCAGCAGATGGACAATCTCTATGTCTCCCTATGTCTCTCCTTTTCTGTTAGGCTGACTTAAAATTTTTTCAAATTTTTATTAGAAAGTCAAATATACAGAGAGGAGGAGAGACAGAGAGGAAGATCTTCTGTCCATTGATTCACTCCCCGAGTGACCGCAGTGGCTTCAATGGCTGGAAACGAGCCGGTGCTGAGCCAGTCTTGAAGCCAGGAGCCTGGAGCCTCTTCTGGTTCTCCCACGTGGGTGCAGCATCCCAAGGCTTTGGTCCATCCTAGACTGCTCTTTCCAGGCTGCAAGCAGGGGAGCTGGATGGGAAACGGAACTACGAAATACAAACCTGCACACACATGGGATCCGGGTGCATGCACAGGAGGAATTTAGCTGGCAGGCTACCGTGCCGGGCCCTAGACTGACTTTCAAATAAAAATAGTTCTTTTCTTTTTTTTAATGAACTTTTGAAAGTCACAGCACATCGCATTGAGCCAAGTACATAATCCTAGATGTTTAAAAAAAGGTGCTTTAGGCAAATTTTTTATAGACGGTTTTCCCTGCTTAAAGTATATGACTGGGGCCTGGCCTTGAATGCGCCAGGATCCCATATGGGTCCCGGTTCTAATCCCCGCAGCCCCACTTCCCATCCAGCTCCCTGCTTGTGGCCTGGGAAAGCAGTTGAGGATGGCCCAAAGGCTTGGGACCCTGCACCCGTGTGGGAGACCTGGAGGAAGTTCCTGGCTCCTGGCTTCAGATCGGTACAGCACCAGCCGTTGCAGTCACTTGGGGAGTGAATCATCAGATGGAAGATCTTCCTCTCTGTCTCTCCTTCTCTCTTTATATCTGACTTTGCAATAAAAAGAAATAAATCTTTTAAAAAAAATAAAGTAAGTATATGACTCGAACCTTGTTCCCATGGAAGATGGGCGGGGTAGGGGCAGAAAAGAAGTGAGGAACTGTACATTTCCACATAGGCCTTGCTTTTTTTTTTTTAAGCTTATGTTTATTTAGTTGAAAGGCACAATTACAGAGCGAGAGAGAGAATCTCGTACCCACTGACTCACTCCCCCAAATGGCTGTAACAGCCCTAGATTGGACCCGGCTGAAACCAGGA